CGATTCTTTACTGCTGGAAAATAGACGAGGTGAGACAGGCAGTGAAGGACACAATCAGACAAGTACTTTGCTGTTGAGCGCTTGTGGAACTATATAATCCCTAACTGGCCAAAGAAGAGGGAAATGGAGAAGAAGAAAGAGGAAAAAGGGAAAGAGAAAGAGGAGAAGAAGATTTCCTGCATTGGCAGATAATTATGCACAGACTATTTTGTGTTCCCATGATTTAATAAGGGCAACAACAATAACTTTATTTTCTTTTGTTACTCGTACATTTACAGTTTTTTTTTATATCAGTGAAATGTAAAGAAAAAGAAACAAGTGTACTATGTGAGTCTGGAGACTGAAGTAACCAAGGGTTTTCTAGTCAACCTCCACTTATTATGTTTCTATGGAGATTTAAGAGAAAAAAAGCTGTTAAGAGAATGAGATATGTACATAAAATTGGAAAAAACAGGAGCATATGGAAATATTACTTGTTTTCAGAATGTTGTTCAGACAGCAAATAAAGTTTCAGATGTCTCGAGAAGTTGACGGCATTGAGATCTTTAAGATGAGTAGGGATATTGCCCCTGACAATAGTGGCTGTATAAGCAGTCGTTTGTTTACCAGAATTGGTGCGCACTTTAGATATGTATAGATTTTGTCTAGATGCATATCTGGTGTAGTATCCATGTACTTCACTGGCGTATTGAAAGAAATCATGAAACAAGCTTGGTAGTAGGCCTTTGTGATAAGAATGCGTGAATTTCAGAGCTTGTAGTCTATAAACATTATTCACTGTGTATTTACATTATTTACTGTTATTTACTATTTAGGGCACATTGTTTCTGTATGGTTTATACTCTGATTCGATAAAGATTTAGAATCAGGGTATATTTTTCAGGTCAGTATTGCTTTTTTTTCTACTTGTAACAAATGACTCCTGAAACATTTTGCTCTGAAATGTATGTGATTTCGTACATTGCTAATACACTAAGGCCCAGGACAAACGTCGAATTTCACATGAGACGAACTAAACTGAGCGAGATAGGTTCATGATAACTTCGACTTTGACTCAACTGAGTTCATCCGACTGAGTTGGTCGATCTAAATTCGAATTAAGTTCGACGTTTGATTCAACGGTCGAGCTTTACCCGTACGTTTGGATTGACTACTTTAACTGCAATTTAGTTCGTCTAATGCGAAGTTCGAAGTTTGNCATGATTTAATAAGGGCAACAACAATAACTTTATTTTCTTTTGTTACTCGTACATTTACAGTTTTTTTTTTATATCAGTGAAATGTAAAGACAAAGAAACAAGTGTACTATGTGAGTCTGGAGACTGAAGTAACCAAGGGTTTTCTAGTCAACATCCAGTTATTATGTTTCTATGGAGATTTAAGAGAAAAAACGCTGTTAAGAGAATGAGATATGTACATAAAATTGGAAAAAAAGGAGCATATGGAAATATTACTTGTTTTCAGAATGTTGTTCAGACAGTAAATAAAGTTTCAGAAGTCTCGAGAAGTTGAAGGCATTGAGATCTTTAAGATGAGTAGGGATATTGCCCCTGAGAATAGTGACTGTATAAGCAATCGTTTGTTTACCAGAATTGGTGCGCACTTTAGATATGTATAGATTTTGTCTAGATGCATATCTGGTGTAGTATCCATGTACTTCACTGGCGTATTGAAAGAAATCATGAAACAAGCTTGGTAGTAGGCCTTTGTGATAAGAATGCGTGAATTTCAGAGCTTGTAGTCTATAAACATTATTCACTGTGTATTTACATTATTTACTGTTATTTACTATTTAGGGCACATTGTTTCTGTATGGTTTATACTCTGATTCGATAAAGATTTAGAATCAGGGTATATTTTTCAGGTCAGTATTGCTTTTTTTTCTACTTGTAACAAATGACTCCTGAAACATTTTGCTCTGAAATGTATGTGATTTCGTACATTGCTAATACACTAAGGCCCAGGACAAACGTCGAATTTCACATGAGACGAACTAAACTGAGCGAGATAGGTTCATGATAACTTCGACTTTGACTCAACTGAGTTCATCCGACTGAGTTGGTCGATCTAAATTCGAATTAAGTTCGACGTTTGATTCAACGGTCGAGCTTTACCCGTACGTTTGGAT